CTGTTGTGGAAGGTTGTTAGATTTTGGTGTGGTTGGCAGTCTGCATTTCAAGCTCGCTAACAGCTGTGGTGTTGTTCGTTTTTCCCCCAACACAGCAAAATACATCTTCATCCTGGCAATTGCACGAACGCGTAAATGTGTGCAGGTCGGCCACTACTAGAGTTTGCCAGCAACAATCAATGAAACGTCCGCGTCCCCTTCGTAATGAGGTGAATGCATTATCCAATACAGCAATTCAATGTGTCGATGGTCTAACACGCCAAGCTGCGACGCCGCCGCGCCTGGTCTGGTCAGACATCGCGAGTTGCACCAAACGCGGCAATTTCTCGTATGATGCGTCGAATGATCCACGACAACGCGCGTCGCCTTGGACAGACAGGGCGCGCCCAGAACTACGATATTTGCCATCGGCGGCCTGGGATAACTCTCTTATCCGACCGTAGACCTATAGACGTAGGTGAAGGCGTCATTGCGAGATAAGGGCCCGGTGCAAAAGAGCATCGGCGGTCTACGCTGCCCGGCCAAGGTGGGCGTGATGGTCATCGACCATCAGACCTGGCTTTGGCGGAATCACTGGAATGGCACACGAATGATATCTCGCTCCATGCTCTAGCAGCTGAGCAGGAGGCGTGCTATTCATAGAGCCTTCTCGCCTGCTGTAGACTGATCGTCGCTGAATCTTAATCGCACATCAGTCACGATGTCCCACCCACGCACCAGGATCAAGAGTTCAGCTCCCACGGACAGGTTCAACGTCAATGGAGTTTGATTTTTGGCGTCACTACAAAAGAAATGGGAAATGTGATTAGCTATCTCCCGCAATGCCATGGGGTGACGGCCCAGGTGCGATCTCCCGCCATCGCCATCTTCGACTTGCTTCTACGCCTCGCAGCACGGGCAGAGATTTCGGCTGGCGGTGTCGCGTCCACGGGTCTACGCGTACCGTCGACACAAACCGCCAGCGACGGAAACGCGTCTTACCAGTATCAATCTCTTCTTGCTTGCCCTATGGCTCACTTCAATTAACGGTGATAGACACTGTTTTGCCTTTGCCCACGAGCTGACACGTCCTTTTGCTGCCATTCCAGATCGCCATCAGCATCATTGAAATCATTCCATCTCAACCCCGCACCAGTGACTTCAACCTCCATACAAATTTGCTGGGGATCCAAGTAGCTCTATTGCAACACCTCATCCACTAACTCTCAGTGGGCAGTCACTAAGCTTTAGTGGACGGGCTCACCAATGTGACCCCGCTGCTGCTTATGCAACTAACGGACATATCATTTGCAATTATCAGAGGTATGCAATCACAAGACGGTACCTAATCTTCAGTGGAGATCCCTATCAAAGTAAAGTCACTTCTTTCGCTGCCCTCAACAGCTCTACCACGGAGTCTCCATGCCTCCATCACGACGTCCAGTTAAACTATGTTCGTCTCCACAGCGTCATTCAGGCTAAAAATAGCCGTTGCTCGTCCAAGAGCACTTGTGTGTCTGGGGAGGCTAGGGTGGCAGGTCACCGCCAGAAAACAGGGGCTGGAAAGTCGCCTGACGGAATTACTATGGCATACATAGTACAGTCACATCATAACGCTTCCCACCATCATATCATAGCAAGTAGATAATGTTCCTTAAGAATTACTCAATACTTTGTTATTACCGATATTATTTCCGCTAAATATTATCTATTAATTTTGTGGCCTATCTTGCAAACTTGGGATTCAAACTGTCATTCTGGCACCCACTCGAGTGGGTAAATGCGCAGTCATCATGATGCATGCTGTTCTCACAATACCTAACGCCGTGCGCTTTCTCCCTAGGTAGGCTTGCCCCAAGCGTGAGCTGAGTATACTGGCAGTGCCTGTACTTGGAAGTTTACTTTAAATTTGCTATCATTTTGTCAATGCGGCAAATACCTCTCTCCAAAGTTTAGCAGCGGTGGCATGTTTGTCCGCATTTTGGTGTAGAATTCACAAAGGTTTCAGTACATCGATGCGCAGGTAAATAAGTTGGGCCGTCAAGTACCTCCCCTCCCCACCACACTTGGATTCATGTCACAACCACCTTAGAGCCAAGTTGACTGCAACCACGTTGAAGCACATCTAAACGCACAGAATTTTATCTCTCCAAAGTTTATCTACATAATCTAGCTAATGGGGGTTTATGAAGAGTAAAAAGCCACCCTATCAGTGAGTATTCTACTTGGCATTGCGACAAAAAGTTGACCTGCGGTGATGTCTAGGGTAGCTCACTCCTCTTCCGCCGGAATAACTTTCGTGCGCATCCGATCCACCACCCAGAGAATGTCCCCCCCGTTATCATCTTCACTCTAACCATAGCTATTTTTTCTAACAATCCACAGACATTAAACTGCGCAGTCGACGCTATGCACTCGGCTGAATAGGCACCGCCTAATTCCCCTGGTGTTGACGCGTTCGGAGTCACGTGAGCTGATGAAGCTTAGTCAGTAAGCAGCCAATCAACACTGCTGACCAATGCGCACGCTGTGATTGGCTAGTTCACTGCCTCCGATCACGATCGCGGTTTGCAGGGAAAACGCGCCGCTATGGTGTCTTCGTCTTCTGTGGACGAGCTAGATAGCCACAGGCAAGTATAGACCTAGGCGCGTCTGTCAGAGAGCGTATCGGCTTCGTATGGGCGGGAATTCTCCCCAAAAACTCGCCGCTTGGGAGGACAAGTTCGTTCTGTCGCGAGCGATTGAGATTGACAACAGTGTACCGCGAGGTATGATACCGTATCTTTAGATACGGCCTTTGACTGAAGTGGCCAATGTCGGCGAGACATGGGTTGAACGCTGAAGGGGCGGGTTTATCGCAGCCTTGCTCAAGGCCTACGGCTGGCTCCCAACTGCTTGACGAGGGGATCTCATTATAGAGAGCTGATGGACCCGACCGATCTTTGAGATGGTGGCAGATGTATGGCGGTAAAGCACTGGACTGGTACAAGCCCTGGATGACGAGTGCTGAATCAATATAGAGTGAAAGACTGATATCTATGCATCCAAGTTGAAGTCTGAGGAAGCAGTGACGAGTGAATCTCGTTCTCTGTCAACGATCAACCGCTCTTAGCTATGAAATGTACCTAACGGAGCTTCCGGATGCTTCAAAGACTCAAATACAGCTATCAGCCTACCATGGGGGGTTTTCTGGCATCGAATGTGTTGTTTGTTCTTCTATTTACCCTCGCAGCCCAGTTCTTTGATGGCGAAACTCTGCTTTGAATTCTTGATTTTAGCTGCTTTCGCTATTGAGTCAACCTCAGGATGCGCTATCACGTATTCGCATTGCTAGGATCTCTTCTGCTGAACTGCGCAGTTCGGTACGAAAACTAATTATTTATTCTTCCTGAGTTATGTATATCCAACCAAGAAAGCGCCTCGCGGATTTGACAGACTGAATTAGAAAGGCTTAGAGGAGTTGTCCAGCTTAAGAAGCCCAATTAAGATCCTATTAGGGTCCTATGCGTCTTCTATCTGGCAGTGGATGTCTAAATAACTAGACAACGAGAAAGTCATTGGCGAGTAGGTATGTAATCTAAAAAATCCATATGCCACCATTTGCTGGTTCTTTCGTGTTTCGCCTCGGAAGGAAATGAGACGGCGCTCTCCAATTCATCGACTCTTTAACTATTCAAATTCTACATACTTGGCCCGGATCTCAGATTTCCAGCGTTCATATTCGACAACCTCGCCTTGAACCAACACACATCCCTTTGGTAACGACTTGGTTTGTTCCTTGTCCCTCATTGGAAATTGGTAGAATTCGTCATCCTTGCTGCACTCAGAAGCTGGGGCGTTGCCATCCATCAGCTTCTTGTAGCAGTCATCGTGGAAAACTCGCTGTCCGGCGTGAGTCAAACAGAGCCACATTCCCGCATTGTTCCAGCTAACAAATCGGCAATTGTGACAGTATGTGAGCCCGGATGAGAGCAAGGACATTGGGTCGATTTCTTCGTCCGCTAGCTGCCTTCCCATGTCCCACCAAACATCTTCTGTGTTCTCATTGTCCTCCTCCAGGAGCTTTGCGACAAGCTCAGAAGCGGGGTTCCCATCTTCGCTTCCGTCGATATCATCGTCCTCTGGTAAATCGGTCTCACCAGCGTCGGCAGCCTGTCCCTCTTCCGTAGCTTCACCTGCAGGCTTCCCCAAATCTGCCGAGTCCTTCATTTCAGCGACTTGTTTCTGCCTCCAGATAAGTTGTCTGCGTTTACTTTCTTGTCGCTGGGCCTTGAAAGCAACATATTGAAGCTCCCAGGCCACGAGAGCGTTTCTTAAATCACCCATGGCGCAAGAGGCGACGCCGAGAGTATAGAGAGACACTGTGTCATTGTCAAGGTCATCATCCTCCAACATCTCAAGCGCACCAGAGACATGGCCTTTGAGTAACTCCTTGGCCTTTTGTTCATCGCCCGTGCGGAAGAAGTATTGCGCCATGGAAGCACAGCTCTGCAGGTCTCCAACGATGTCACTTTCATAGTCGTCGTAGTAGGCTTGGAGCTTTCTGTGATAGGACTCGGCATCTATAGAAGAAGCAC